AATAGAGAACTAATGGCTTTTTACACACACTTACATGTGCATGAAGAGGAACTCTTCATTTGAAAGCAGTCATTTACTGTCCTAGATCAGCTCAGGCAAAAAAAAGAGACCACTCATTCTGTTCTAGTTAGAATTGATAGTATGCTCTCTAGTCCAAGCATAAAAGAGCTAAGACAGGGCAGATGTCCTCAACTGTGGAACATCACTGATGACAGGGAAGCCTTGGGTGCAACTCCTTGGGAAGTAACTTACACTGTTCTTGCTGGCTTGAATTAATCCCAGTGGCAAGACATACTAAAATGAGCTGTGAGTCTTGTCCCGATCCTTCTCTTACCCGTCATTTCTGCTTTATTATCTGAATCTTCTGTATCTCCATGGGAACTTGGCAGTTGTTGTTTATGATTACTTTCCCCAGGACAGGTGGGAAGTCTAATTTTACATTATTGCTTTGATGGCTAATAAAATGCAGGCTATGGTGCATCTTAGCACCTGCCAGTCAAACAATGCCCACAGTGGATTTGAAATAGAGGTATTTAAATGCAAATGGAAATTTGACATGTCTGCCATTGACCTCTGTAATTGGGCTGATGATCCCGATGTTCCTAGGAGTTTTAATTTTTGGGTGTACACTGAGGAAGAAATATAGCCAAATATCAAAAAATATACATCATTAGAGAGTTTCAGAATAGCCAGTTCATCTCCTTTGCCTGTTTGAGAAGCCCTTGAAAGCACTCCCTTTTTTCCTCAATAGCAAAACAAGTGGGAAAAGCAAGCCTCGTTGAGCCTTGAAATGAAAAGCAGGCTGATTAAGATGACCTATGTAGGCATACTTCCCCAGCTCACAGAGCAAAGGGACTTTAGTGACTGACACCTATGGCTCACAAATGTTCTATTAGGGAGTTTCCCTGAGACTTAAATCCTGAAAGGAAGGCACTCCTGAGATAGATGAGCGCAAATGGAAAATATGGGTAGGGACACACTGTAGTTTTGAGAATACAAATCCTGTTATTTGCTCCTCTTCACTGTTACTTTTGTGATCTCCATTCATGAGGAACTTCACAAATGGGGAACATATGACCTGCTAATGTTACTTTAGAGATGCTACTGACCTCAAGGCCTGGACCGTGCCAGGGGCATCCTCCTGCAAGCCTGACTCCCTGCATCTTACTCTCCTGGGTAATTAGGGACTCCAAAGGGCAGTCTTGGAGAACGGAACTGGCTGCTGCAGAGGCTAAGGAAGGCCACTGTGGAAGGAGCACTCAAACTGAAGTTGTGCATTGGAATCACATAATGAGGTGGGAAAAGACCTCTGGAAGTCTTTAGCCCAACCTCCTCCTCAACTGCATCAGCCATAGCAGATTGCTCAGGGCTTTGTCCAGTTTCTCTTGAAAAGTCAAAGCAAGGAGAATGCACAGCCTCTCTGGGTCTGCACAGGAACTTCCAGAATCTGGTTAGTTGCAGAAAATGTCAGACCTGATGAACACTAGTCTCCCATCTTAAAAAAAACCAAAAAACCAAAAAACAAAAAAAAACCAAAAAAACCCAAAAAAAAAACAAAAAAAAAACCCAGAAAACAAAAAAACCAACCAAAACCAACAAAACCCCAGCCAACCTCCAAACCAAACCAATACTCTGATTGAATTGTGTCATTACAAAAGAATTAGACTAATATTTTCTATTAAGAGCTACCACCACTGGATTGACCTTTCTACGAGACGAACAGCTGTTTGCACAGCTGGTGGCTGACACAATGCTTGCTCTTCAAAAATCACTGGCCTGTGGAACTGCACAGTGCTTACTCTAGGATCATGTTGAACATTAACCAAGTACAGGAGAGTAACCAGCCCAGTTGTGCCAACTTTTCTACTAATTGGGAAAGAAGCACTAGTTCTTTGGGGGGGTCAGTTATGACTTGGGGGTCACTGACCACTAGGGACCAACAGAGACCCCTGGGACAGAAGATCACATGTCCAGAGTGGAGGAATCACATTAATGATTTGGTGAAAATTATAATGAGATGTATGTTTATTCCAGGAAAATCAACAGATATGTATTGTATCATATCATATATCATATCATATCATATCATCATATCATATCATATCATATCACATAACAAAATATACAGAAGTTTTGCTATTATGAGGATGCATGGTATTTCAGAGGAGATATCCCCTTGTGCATCTGGCTGAAGAAAGAATGCCCACTTCTTAATGCTACATTGGTGTTAAGGACTTTTATTTTACCAATTTGGAATTGGTAATAACTTGACTCAGAGCAGACAAACTAAGCCACCTAATCATCTTGTAGTAATTTTGCCAGTACTGTACTTGTGTAAGATTGTTCCTTTATAGAAGTTGATTTGTGTGGAAAATTTACAAAAGTTTTCCTTGCGCAGCTCCCAGCCCTGCCCCAGCACATGCATGTGCACAGACACATAAACATAACTCACACCCTCTAAGAAATTTTTGTAAGAATCATTTGTTTGTTGGGATGCAACATCGGTGGCTGGACTCCTTTTCCCCAGGACCGAGACTGATGAGAGAGAAGCTGTTTTCTCATCTTCAGGCTTAGTTGTTTATTCTTTCATTATCTACATTACACATATACAGAGCACAAGGAGCTACATACACTAAGATAGGTGAAAAATTGAGAACAAATAATCTCTCCAAGGTCTTTTATATGTCTGTTTCTCCAATAATCAAATGCCAAGTAAGTTTTTTTTCTTAATGACCCAATGACCCAACACCTGTGTGCTGCACTGTGGACTTCTTTATCCAATCACTCATTATTACCCAAAAATCCTTAGAAGAAGAAGATGAAGAAAGAAGAAGAAGGAGAAAGGGACCATGCACTAAACCCTCCGTATTGTCTCTCATTCTCTAATATAGCTTAAATCCTAAACTCTAACTCTCTCAACCAGTGACTTAAGGAAACCACATCCACTCACACACTCACATTCTCTGCTTAACTTTAATAGCTGTTTCCATGGCGTTATGCTAAATGCAGTGCTCTCTTGTGTAACAGAGCCAGGCACCACAGATAAGGGCCTGTTTTCTGTGCTTCTGACCCCAACATTTGTTCATGATAAACCTCATGTTGGAAGCAGTAGTTGTTTCTCACTACCAAAGCATGACAGCAGAAGAAATTTCCTCCTTAGCCAGTAGGTAATTGTCTTGTTGGGATCAGACTTTTTGCAGAAATTACTCTGCTCCCCACATTCAGCCTTAGAGAGGTCTGAGCTTTGTTCCCTGAGAATGGGGGAGATGAGGGCAATGCAAGGAGTCAAAAAAGAACACTTAAAGGGTTGAATTTTACCCATAACTATGTTAAATCTTCAGCTCCAAGGAAGCTGTAAAAGTCAGGCCCATGTGTTAAAATAACCCACAGGTCAGAGAGAGGACAGGAGTGCCTTGCCTAGGTGGCAGAGATGTAGAATCTGAGTGCAGCAAGTCAAGGCGATGGCTGGAGATTTAAAGTTGCACTTCCAGCATTCACGGCACTCATCGTGATAAGGTGACTGGTACTGACAGCTTTCCTTTTCTTTTTTCTGCAAACCAAGGCTGTCAGTGTTTCTGTGTTTGTATTAATGAGAAGGGTAGAGATTAGATTTGTGGTTTAATGGAGAGCAAAGCGGTGTCCAAATTCAACTGATTTCATTTTTGTTTTGATGATATTTTTTCTGTGATGAGTCTGAAAATCAAGGACATCTTTTTAGAAGTGCTCAGAATCCAAGATCTCTGACTTTGCTGTGGTAGGAGCCCAGTGATCTCACAGAGCCTGTTTGCTCTTGTTCTTGAGTAAGCAAAGATGTGGGCTCTTTCAGCCTTTTTTTTTTTTTTAGAGAGGAAAAAAACCCAGACTCAAATCTAATTCTGGTGTTGAATATTCTGAAAAATCTGTCTTATTGAAGGAAGTAACACTTTGTGATACTTGTGGTATCAGAATGTGCAAATTTTATAATTCATTCAGACACCTGATAATCCAGACCAATAATGCTCTTATTAATGTTTTAACACTGTTGATAGAAATAAAATTAGCGGAAATTTTTGCTTAAATTTCCAAAGATATTTTGAATGTGAGAATATTCATTTGGGAGAGGAACAGAATGCATTTACACGGTTCTATTATGGCTTTTTTCCCCAACACGCAGGTCCTCTCATTTCTCTTCTCTAGCTTAAGCATTAAAGCAACTCACCTGCTTTTAAAATGAAGCTCAAATATAACTCTTTCTGCTATTTTGCTTAAATTTTTCTGTGTGATCTGAAAATAATCAGTTGCAATTTGCTTTATAGCATTCTTGTGGGAGTGAAAAAAGGCCAGAAGAATTTTTCCCAACCGAATGTATATAGAATGTATGTAGAACTGTATTAGACTCCATCAATATTCATACTTTGCTTTATATATAACTTTATTAAGCCTATGCTTTATAATAAATTTTAGCAAGCAGGCTTTCAGTTCAATTACAGCAACTGCTTTTCAGCAAGCTAGATGAAGAAAGCAAGTTTTCCACATACTCCTTGTCCATTATTCCACCTGAATGAACTCCTTGCAGTTCAATAACTGCAGTATAATATAAAAAAACTATCAGCTACTGTATTAGAGTATAAAAGGTTAATTTATTAGGGTTAATGCCTTCATTCCAGCACCACTGCTGTATCTGGAACTACGTTTTCAAATGTGCTCACATTTCAGTGTGTCAGGTTCTCTCAGTTACTGAGGCATCTCAGACTCCCAGCACCAGAGGACTGCCCCAACTAGGACTTCACCAGGCACTGCTTGGAAGCAAGACCTGGGAAGATGCAGTTGTTTCCCAAAGTCACCATAGGCTTGCTTGGTCCAAGTTTCATCACTTCCTCTGATGAGAGCCCCTTGGGGCTTCAGGGTTGCACAGGTGCCTGCCTTGGCCTCTTGCTGGGTGGGGGAGAATCCTGGGGGCTGGAGGCTCTCCTCTTTCGGGCACACCGAGACTTCCTGTGAGACTGGTCCCAGCCCTGTACCTTGCTGCAGATACTGCCCTGGGCAGATGGACCTGCCAACACTGCCTGCTCTGGCTCCTCCTGGGGCTGGTCCCCCTCTGTGGGAATGAGCACAGGGAGGCAGTGCCTGGGACCCCCTTGGAGGGCAGCCCCTGATGTTCCTGCTTCCTCCTCCACATTTAATCCTGCTGGAATGCTGGCAGAAATCCTCTCCTGGGAGCTGCTGGACCTGGAGCTGCTGGACATGGAGCTGGAGCTGGCACTGGCCACAAGGCTGTTAGTCTCCTCCCTGCCAATGCCGAAAAGCAGCAGCCTCTGGGCTTCCTCACTGCATTTGGCCACAATGATAGTGATGAGGCCATGGATCAATGGTGCTGTGTGCTCCCCAAAACAGTTCTGCAGTGACTGAACCAAGTTCTGAACATTCAGACCATGGAGGCAGAGATGATGCAGGATGCTGCTCTGTGCAACTTGTACTAGCCACCACTGGTCCTGGAATATTGCCTCCAGCCTTTCCCACAGCCAGGGCCGCACAGCATCCAGGAGGTGCTGTCTTTGTTGGAACAGTCTTGCCCACACCTCAGGCAGGAGGCCACCCACAGGCTCTGGCCCTGCAGCCCCTTGCTCAGCTGCAGACAGTGTTCCCTGTGGAGAAGGTGCAGGGGACACCAGAAGGCCATGGGGGCTGTTTTCATCCAGGAGGATGGGAGCTGCCTCTGTGTGACTGCTGGTCTCAGATGACTCTTCAGGAGAGATGACAGAAAACAGCAGATAGTCCTGTTCACCCCGCTCAGAAAACCTGACAGTCTCTATCAGTGTCCTGCAGAGTGGGCACAATGGATTTGTCTGTGTCCACCGCAGGATGCAGCCCAGGCAGAACCGGTGGTGACAGGGCAGAGCAGAAGCCACATCCTTTGGAGGGTCCTGGCAGATGAGGCAGTTGCTGTCATTTTCTCTGGCCGTTTTTGTGCTTGGCAGCATTTTGGGGAAAGCTGAGGATCAGGACCTGCTCCCTTCCATTGGTGTCACACTGCAGGAGAAGATGTAGTCACTGACTGTCCCAGGGAGGGAAGCAAAGAATGGCCAGGCCCCTGAACAAGAACACTCTCCCACCTTCCTAAGTCACGTCACCCACCCCATGGCCACCCTGCAGGGACATCTTCCTGCACAGCTCACCCTCAATGCTGCAACCACAGTGTCTGGCTGCCCCAACCAGGCAGGGCAGGGAAACAGGTGTGATTACTCTAGGATAGGTAGAGAGCTGTCAGTGGCAGCCCCCAGCACACCACCAGTGCTGGGAAAAGCCTGGTTTGACTCTGCAGATCCCAGAGTCTTCCTCAGCGGGAGTCAATGCTTGGGCCAGATTGGCACAGTTACTCCTGGAGCCCAAATAAAATCAGCAATGGATGTTTTGTCACAATCTGCCACTTGGGATGTCACCCTCCAGAGCCTGATGTCACAATGGGATGTTCCCCACTAGAGGTGCACAGTGCTAGGAAAGAAAACAAAATAATTTCTTGTTTTGAACTTCTACATTTCCATGTTGCTCTGCTTTGGTCACCTGCGTCATGCATCCATGGCTGTGTTTCTTGTACCTGCCCTGACACACTGCCGAGGTGTCCCATGAGCAGGAATGTGGTGGGAGCAGTCAGCATGGACTGCCTGTGGCTGGATGATGTCTCCTTCCCTCACTGCCTTTCCCTGTGCAATGCCAGGATCTGGAGTATTGGCGTGGAGGTGGCAAGCCCTGGGTGAGAGGAAGGATCCCCTCCAGCCATAGGCATGTAGATCGCTGTGCCCAGCTGTGAGAGGAAGCCCCTGCCAGGCCCTTCAGGCACACATGGTGTGGGGGACACTTCCTCGTGATCCCCAAGCTGACACCCTGAAGTGGTGCACAGTGTTCTGGGGATACTCCTTTTGGGTGGGCAGAGCTCAGGATGACCAACAGGCACTGGAACCAAGTGGTACAACAGGGAAGTGCCAGCAGAAGCCAGAGGTGATGCCCTGTTGAATTTTCAATGCACCTGTGACAAGATAATTTGCTCCTCCTGCCCACACCACCTTTGTCATCTGTTGCATTGTGTGTGTGTGTGTGTGGCTGCAGCAGGGTTTTCTGTGAGAGGAGGCACTGCTGACATGGCCCTGAGGCTCCAGGGTCCATGGCTGTACCCCTCATCATGTGGGTGCAACCAACAGTGGGGCATGAGAGGAAGGGTAAAGGCATTAGTAGGAAGAGAATCTCAGACACTGTGAGTGAAACAACAATTTATTTCCTTTTATTATTTCCTGAATAAAGGGTTGCAGAAGTTCTGCTAGCGCTGCTGTCAGGACAGCCTCCTGCTGGGAGGAGGAAAATCCTGGGAGCTGGGGACCTTCTTCTGTGGGGGGTGCTGGGACCCCTTGGGCAAGAGGTTCCCGCTCTGGCTGGGAGTAGAGGGGCTGTGGCTGCAGCCCTGGGCAGAGGGACCTGCCACCACCATCTGCTGCAGTCTCTCCTAGCTCTGGTCCTACTCTGAGGGGTCAAGTGCAGGTGAGGAGCAGCTGGGGCTCCCAGTGAAGGTGGATACTGATGTACCAGCTTTTTTTCTCCACCTTGGAGGCTGCAGGGTTGGTGGGGATCCCCTCCAGGAGCTGGGAGGTCAAGGGCCCTCACAGGCACAAAAGCTACTGGAGCTGGATCTGGACCTGCAGCTGCTAGAGCTGGCCACAGGGCATTGTTCTCATCCATGACAGGACCTGAGCACAGCAGCCTCTGGGCCTCCTTGCTGCACTGGCCCACAATGACTCTGCTGATGCTGTGGATCAGTGGCACAGTGTGCTCACTGAGGAGAGGCTTCAGCACCTGGACCGGCATCTCCACATCTGGCCCATAGATGCAGAGACTGTACAGGATGCAGTTCTCTATGTCCTCAACCAGCTACCACTGGTCCCAGTATATTCCCTCCAGCCTCTGATGCACAGTCGTTTTCAGGATGTTATATGAAATTCAGTGCTTTCTTGGATGTCAGAGCCAGGTATCAGAGATAAGGGCACTGTGCCTTTGTCTGTGCCTCTGACTCCAACAAGAAAAGCATACTTTGTTAGCTTGAGGGCTGGATAGTGCAAGTTTGGACTGCTGTGGGGGCGTGGGGGCACTGGCTTTGCCCGTTAACATCTGCTCAGGTGACAGCCCCATGTCTCTATTCACAGGGCTTCTCCTCAACCTCCCTGGGAGAGCCCATCACACCCAGGCATTTCAGGTCAACGCCTACACCAGATTTTCCTGTTTGGTTTTGAAGTCAGAGTTTGTCATCTCTACAGCCCTGCTATATCAATGGTGATGGCACAAAGACACTTTTTGCTGGTTTCTGGGACTGTGTGACTGTCCTGCTTTGCTTGCCCAGTAAAAAGGTTATTGGAAAAATCGCTAGATGCTCAAACATAGATTTATTTCCTCTCTTTTCTCTTTAAGTAACTGCAAACTCCTCCCCAGTTTTCTCCCAGACACCTAAAAGCTGGCATTAGCTCAGGCTTCTTAAAAATGTAATGACAATCAGTCAGTTTTATTAAACAAGTTTGAGGATTCTTTCTTGACTTGAGGCAATTCAGAGAAGGTGTCCAACAGCAAATATCACAATCTGTTCTTAAATGTAGCAAAGAAAATTCTCATGACAGGTTTTACAGGTTTTACAACCTGGTTCCATCTCAGGAACTCTTGCTTCTGTGCTTCACTATTTTGCAGTGGTTTTCCTTGTGCTTTTTAGCATGACTTCTTTATAAATAATTTCTACTGTTCCTCCAGAGGAAAAAAATTAAGCCATCTACTAATCCTTAAAAAAAAAAAAAAAAGGAAATCCAATATGCACAAAGTTTTCCTATTCACCATTTCTTATAGAGTACCCTATTGGTCAATACTGGGGCCAAAACATCATTTAATGTTCTCATGAATGACCTGGATGCTGGGACAGAGAGCACCCTCAACAAGTTTGCAGGCGAGAAACAATTGAAAGGATTCTTCAGTAGACCACAGAGACCTTAGCAGCCTGCAGAAAAGGGCTGGCAGGAACCTAATAAAGTTCCACAGGGAGAAGCAGCATCCTGCACCTGTAAAGAAATAGCCCCATCCACATGCTAGGGCAGGCTAGGGACCAGCTTGCTGGAGGGAAACTTTTCAAGGAAGGCCTACAGCCTTCTGGACTGGCAGACCATTGGCAGCAGTCAAGGGAGAGGATCCTTCCTCTCCACTCAGAACTGATGTATTCCCCTTAGGAGAGAGAGCACAGCTTGCCAAGTGAGTCCAGTGAAGGGCCATGAGGATGACCTGAACCACTTCTCGGAGAAGCTGTACTATCTCAAGAGGTCCCACAAGCTTTTGGTGACCCTGTGATTCTGCGGTTCTGTAAAGGTGTATCTTGCACATGCTGAAAAGCCAGAAAGATGCCTTCTGAGGAAAACCAAAATGAAGGCAATAAAAGGCACTGAATGCAAGAACTGAATTGGAAAATACTCCTGCATTTGTATTAGACAGTTTCTACCTAGTTATGTTTCCTTATTTAAAATTCTGGTTTGGTAATTCTTAGTAAAAGTACCTATCTTGTGAAATAGGAGGAAAAAAGTTGAAATAACAACACTATAAAAGCACAAAAATATTGAGCACTAAATAATGAGCCCTGAATATTCAGCTCTGGAAATGCAGAAAATTGTACACAGACTGTTAGATTAAATTAAGGACCTGGAAAGTTGCCCAGTATTATTTTTCTGTAGCTCTAAAATATCAAACTATTTAGGAAATTTAGGATACTGTAGCTGGACTCTGGTACAGGACTGTTTGTATGCTACAATGACAAAACTCTTACAGACTTTGAGTGCTTGAGTCATTCAGATTATTCATGAAGTTTAATTATCTATTTACTTATTGTCATTAGAAAATTTAACTGGAAATGACAGCATAATTCTTCATGTCTAGTATACGGACTCTATCATCATCTTTCTTTTCTTCTCTTTTCTCATTATCTTTCTCATCTGATTTTGAGATTTCATACAGCAAAGTATACTAGGACAGATGTAGATGGGTCAACACATGGGTAAATAAATCACCACTGCAACATTCAATGAGCCACTGTTTAAATTGAAAATATATATATTCCTGTTTCTTTTTAATAAAATCCTTCCTTCCTTCCTTCCTTCCTTCCTTCCTTCCTTCCTTCCTTCCTTCCTTCCTTCC